TAACATTAAAATCACATTATCAAAATTATATGTTTAGCAAAATAGGCGGGTTACAGTATACCGAACATGACCGAGTCGGCCAATTTGAGCACACCCTAAGCCTGTTTAGCTATCCATGTTCAGTAGCCCGTATTTTACGTATTTTGGACAACCTGGTCGATGTACACTTCATCACTGAGCCGGACTTCTGCGCAGGAGAATGGAGAGAAGGGGGGGAAGGAGGTTCCAGTGTGAGACGAGAAGAGATATCTCTGCTCGCCCTCCAACTGTAGTCAGGTGTCCCCTGGGCGCAAACTGGGTTTGCTGAGTGCACTTTAACCCTCTACTCACCCGATTCCATGCTTAGTCTCTGAGGGTACTGTATCCCGCCTTATTTTCCTGAATTCATAATCTGTCAATTCACAGGAACTTTATAATAGGAATTCGATGCTTGCAGACGACCGAACCAGAGTGTACTAGAATGATCAAAGCTAAGACCTGAATGGGAAACGCGACATAGCGATCCAGCGGTGTATAGCGTTACTTCCGAGTCACGCCACTACTCCCCAAACCCGTAATCCCGCAATACCCATGGAATGCCTCTATAGCGTTGACGATCATGGAATATAACTGAATAGAAATGAACCTACTCAATGTCAGTGCTGGAGCAAAAGTCTCTTGCATAGGAAAGTACTGAATAGATGGTTGGATAATGAATGCGGCTCGAGTATAAAGACTTCGAGCAATACGACACGTTAAATTGACCATATCACTTGACGCAGTAAGTGTGTTCTGAAAAGGTGACAGCCTCGTTGGAAACCTTCAAACATTGCGTGTCCTCTGTGAAATGGTACTTCGAAAAGAAAAATTACCTCTATATTGAATTTCCCCGCGCTTCTCTTCCACAATACGGAGACATTGCCATCACCCCGACCGTTACCAGTTTTTACTCTGCCGACAAGTCCAACTCGATCAGCATCGGTCATCGCACAATCCACCGATTGTGTAATGGATATTCCAATGAGTTGAGGAGGGTACCTAGAATAAAAACAAAATCTCAGATAGAGACAATTTTCTCCACTGAGTCAAGGAGATCACCTCCAATCGGATAGAAAGAATTCAAATCGAGATTGTTCACTGAGCGGGCCCAGAACTACCAGCCTTATGTCAAGTTTTGATAGCTGCCAAAGCTCTCAGGAAAAGAAAAGCAATGAATCTTCCCTGATAAACCTCCCACTACATAAGTAGTAGACATGCTGAGAGGGTCAGCGTTTATAGTGGGGATGGAGTGGCCTAGAACAGGCACCTTTTCCAGCTGTTTTGTGTCTAGGATAAATAGTTCTCCTACGCATTCTAAACTGCTCGACAGAGCTTCATGTCCTGTACGATAATACGCTGTTTTGTGATTCGAGTTTTTGTTGATTCTTAGGACATTAAAAATGAGTATGAAACTGGCAAAAGTGAGCGTTTTTGACGCCAGCTTTTCAGCTCTTTAACTCCCCAATATTTCTCATCTCTTCGATTTTTTTCAACACTGTCAATCAGTTCTATTCAATGTGAATTTTTCTGATCCTGATTGGGATGAGGAGACCTAAAAGCAGTTCGAAATTCATCAGAGGGGAGGACTGTGCCAATGCGGCTCAAACTTGATTCGAGTGATTCGAAAATGAAATTTCGACCCCGTAAATATGTTTCGTAATGATAAAAACGATTATATACAACGAACTTGTGTACCTATCGTCTGGATCCTCGGGGAACAAACCGGCTAACGATGTCTTCACAATAAATCCAGTCTAAACAATTAATGAGAAGTAATAAAGACAAACAGTGTAGGATCGCTCGTTTATCGCACTTACAGAAGGATGAATTCGCTGTAACATTAGCTCCTGTTCCTTCAACCTTTGCAGGAAATCGTACTCTCGTCTGATATTTTCAGGATTCGCAGATCTCGAGACAAGTTCCCATCCTTGTGTGTCGAGGCCTTGCACGCCAAGGGCATCGTAAATCGCTCGTTTTTTGGGATCTAGCAGTGCTGAAGAAATAAGGCCGTAGAATTCGAAACTGCTTGGAATACACTTTAGAGTACTGGGATAAGTAAATAGACAACATACTTTCATGAGCACGTCGAAGTTGAACGAAAATTTTCTCAGCTTCTTTTTTATCATCTTCATCGTTGTGTCGGTCAGGATGGAAGATAAGGCAACGTTTTCGATAGGCTTTGTTTATTTCATCCTCCGTTGCCTGAAAAGACTTGAATAAGTTGAGTATAAACTTGGTAGGTTTCCAAAAAGTTGATTAAGCGAGAGGTTCTGCTGTTTTTTACTAGCCCATTGATGCCGATGAGTGAAACTGCAAAACAACTTTTTTTAAGTCACAAAATCCAATATCGGTGAACCACAAAACAGGACCCCTTTGACGGGAACATTCTGCATACGCGCGTCTATCCAGGAAAAATAAACTTGGAAGACACGCACTGAAATCAGCGCACACAGCGTTCGATGTGTTAAGTCAACAGCTGGTGATGCATTCTGATGATATTCGCTCTGACTGAACCCACGGTTTTCGAGGACAGTCCTTGCGCTCAACCAGTTCTTAAGCGTCCTTACTAAAGTAGTCCAGTCTGCAATCTTCAAGAGAGGCGCTGTGGCGCTGACACGTGGCAGCTCTGACGGAACCCTAGTTGTTCCCCCCCCCCCATAAAAATTGAAGGCTATTTAATGTCATGAGTTTACTTGTTTTTTCGTCTTTTTCACTGTTAGATGGCATTAGGATTTGACGACGCGAATTATAATATTAGAGAGCCAGAGACGGCATTATACCGTTTTGCCGGCACAAAACCAGCAGGTCCGTCGAAGTCGTCGTCTAGTGAAGCTGCCAGGGGATTTTTTTGCATTTTATTCTTTTCTGGAGGGTCACTTGGGGATTAGCGGACTGTAACTGAACGATCCACAACATGCAATTGTCGGGTTTGGCTTTATTGTGTCTATTTAGCCCAGTTCCGCCGCCTTTTATGAGACTTGTCATCTAAGATGTTAATGAGGTAACTCCTCACAACTGCGCCAATGACGGGAAAAACTAGGCACTAACGTAGTTGGCAGGGGCCATGCATCAACAGTAGGCAACCATGCCAACTCTGGTAGTTTGCGCTTTCCCTTATCGAGGTCAACTCATATCCCGGACACGAAGGGGGCTTCGATGAATACTTCATTGCGACATGGCATAGCTGTAACATGCTGAAATACTGCCTGAAATACCGGGCCTCGTGCAATAATGCTGTCGCTAAAATTTGTATTTTATCATTACCCGTAACGTCTGAAGACACACCATTAACATGTTATGTGACGTGAATGACACGTCATCTTGCTAGGTAACGGCCTGGGGTATGGAGCAAGAGAATCGTAACTGCCGCACCAATGGGTGTCGCGTGCGACATCGCGCCCGCCAAGGCC